CCATTAAAAGTGAAATTCAGAAAAAGAACTTGATAAAAAAAGGCCCATGAAAATCAACAAGGTGCTTGGTGACAGCCAGCATGGCTTCACTAAGGGGAAATCCTGCCTGACCAATTTGGTCGCCTTCTATGCTGGGGCTACGGAACTGATGGACAGGGGTAGAGCAGTTGATGTCATCTACCTGGACTTGTGTAAAGCATTCGACACTGTCCCACATAACATCCTTGTCTCTAAATTGGAGAGACATCAATTTGATGGATGGACCACTCGGTGGATAAAGAACTGGCTGGATGGCCGCACACAAAGAGTTGTAGTCAATGGCTCAATGTCCAGCTGGAGACCAGTAACGAGTGGTGTCCCTCAGGGATCGGTGTTGGGACTGGTCTTGTTCAACACCTTTATCACTGACATGGACAGTGGGATTGACTGCACCCTCAACAAGTTTGCCGATGACACCAAGCTGTGTGGTTCGGTTGATACGCTGGAGGGAAGGAATGCCATCCAGAGGGACCTTGACACACTTGTGAGGTGGGCTGATGCCAACCTTATGAAGTTTAACCATACCAAGTGCAAGGTCCTACACCTGGGTCGGAGCAATCCCAGGCACAGCTACAGGTTGGGCAAAGAAGAGATTCAGAGGAGCCCTGCAGAGAAGGACTTGGGGGTGCTGGTTGATGAGAAAATGAACACGAGCCAGTAGTGGTCGCTTGCAGCCCAGAAAGCCAACTGTATCCTGGGCTGCATCAAAAGGAGCGTGAGCAGCAGGTCGAAGGAGGTGATCCTGCCCCTTTACTCTGCTCTTGTGAGACCTCACCTGGAGTATTGTGTGCAGTTCTGGTGTCCTCAACATAAAAAGGACATGGAACTGCTGGAACAAGTCCAGAGAAGGGCCACGAGGATGATCAGGGGACTGGAGCACCTCCCATATGAAGATAGGTTGAGAAAGTTGTGTCTGTTCAGCCTGGAGAAGAGAAGGCTGCTTGGAGACCTCATAGCAGCCTTCCAGTATCTGAAGGGGGCCTGTAGGGATGCTGGGGAGGGACTCTTCATTAGGGACTGGAGTGATAGGACAAGGGGTAATGGGTTAAAACCGGGGAAGTTTAGATTGGATATAAGGAGGAAATTCTTTCCTGTTAGGGTGGTGAGGCACTTGAATAGGTTGCGCAGGGAGGTTGTGAGCGCTCCATCCCTGGCAGTGTTCAGGACCAGGCTGGACGAGGCCTTAGGTGAGATGATTAGTGTAAGGCGTCCCTGCTCATGGCAGGGGAGTTGGAACTTGATGATCTTAAGGTCCTTTCCAACTCTAACTATTCTATGATTCTATGAAAATGTCAGACTTTAATGACATGCGATTGATATTACTAATAATTCTTGATATAAATGTCAAGATAACGTGATACTGAAATTGCTGCAATCCTTTGCAAAAATGCACAATGCTAGTAGACTTATGGCTTGCCATAACCAGCAGAGCATCCTGTAGGATGGGGGGTGTTAACTGTTAATTTATCTCGTCTATGCAATTTCCTCCACAATGGGTCGCAGGTAATAAAAATACCTAGGGATCAAAGAATATATTGTAGTAATAATACACATTGTTGGACAAAAATATGTATCATTACACATTAAACTTCTAAATTATTACATTATTAAACTCCTTTTTGGAGAAGTGATTACTTGGACCATAGAAAAAAAACCTACATTGCAGTGGTAACTACACTACCTACAGGAGAAAAGCTATGTTGGGATATAAACTCAACTCCTCTTACAAGAAGATGAGAACTTGTTATAGAAAATAAGACATGGGTTGCCAGTGACTACAGTAATATATCTTGGGACTAAATTTACCAAACATGGAAAATGACTGAAGAAGGGAATTGGCATTATGCTGAACTAACAGGTGTTTTGAGAGGTTAGGGAATCCAGGAGGGCAATGAAGAGTATCAGAAGCCGACCCAAATGGAATATACAAAAAGATAGAATAATGAGACTTTACTGCACAAATGTATATAACTGTTCTAATTATCCCCAAGATTTTCAAAGGATTAGGCCTTTGGCTAGAGCCGTTGTGCAATGTGGTCTAGTGTGAGGCATCCCTACCCATGGCAGGGGGGTTGGAACTAGGTGATCTTGAGGTCCTTTCCAGCTTTAACTCTTCTATGATTTATGATACTATGATTACTAACTTCATGTCTGTATGGAGAAAGAGCATGATAACTCCTTATGGAATCGTTGAAAGAGATACAGTAGATGGTTGGCAACAACTACCTACTGGAACTAGGGTAGAATGGGTCCTAGAATCTCTGCAGCCACAGTCAGTCCTTACAGAATAGATTTGCAATTAACAGCATTACTGGACAAATGGAGGTTCTGGCAGATGCTACTAAAACCAGATTTTCGGACCTAAATCAACAGGTGCAAGTCAATTCAAAGATGACTTTGCAGAATAGACAAGCTTTAGATTTATTGTTAGCCCAAGACCATGGCCTATGTGGATATTTACATTTGGATCCTGACAGGTGTTGTACACATGCACCTAATGACACTGAACCCTTGCAAAAACAGTGAGAAAGAATTAAACAAGTGGCTAAAGCAAGTAGAAAAATTAATGAAAGAATAGAAACCAGTATCAGCTCTACTTCATAAATGAGGCTTATCTCTGCCAAACTGGCTCTTGAGCATAATGTAAACCTTGTTATTATAATGATTGTAAGAATCTGTATAGGAAGCATTTGGAAAGCAAGAGAAAAGAGTATATGGGAGTACTAAAATTGCATTGATACTGGATTATTCCATTAAATTAGGCTGAGTTAACATGGTAAAAAAATTTTATGTAAAGAAGTATAAGCTGGAATATACAAGACACTCCAATATTTAAACTAGAAATCTTTAACTAAACACCACACGCTATTGTTGTTTTACAATGATACAAAATATGGAAGTGAGACTTCCAAAGGGGGAAATAATGCTTGCAACATCTTGCAAAACATTGCTAAACCCCAAAGGACTGAGCAAAACCTGTAAATGTTTGCAACATCTTACGAGAGGATGCTTGCTACAATCGTAGTTCTGCTACGTAACTGTGATAATGTACAGACTTCTCTAAACAAAGACTATCCATCTTGCTTCCCTGGGAAATGAGTCAGGACTGATAAGGAGGAACATTTGTCTCCAACCCTTGGACAACAGCCTAGAAGAAAATGAGCAATAATTAGGTGGGGGAGTGGGGGGCAGCCTGACCACCAACTCAAGAAACCCATTGACTCAAGATAAAGGCAGAGCCTGCATACCTGATCAGCATAAGAAGTGAGAGGGACCTTTAATATTCCACCACCAGTATGGGGTAGAATACTAATTAATGAACAAATTGTATAACTCTCAACCAGTGAACACAGATTTCTTTGTCAAAATGTATAAATAGCTTAAAGTTACAATCATGATTGATTTGTGCTTGATTTGTGGAGACTTCCACAGAGGACTCTGCACAGAATAAATGTCTCCTTTCCTAACTAGACTCTGTGTCTTTGTTTATAAAGCCCCACATGGGCAACAGAGCCAGCCTCTGCCTATGATGTGAGGGGAGTGAGCAGAGCCTCTGGGACATTCCAGGCCGTTGCAGAAGGCTCCTCACCACCACAGGAGTTCTGCCATGTCCCAGCTGAAGGTGGGCACTGCCTCTACCCCGGGGCACAGCTGCCACTCCCTGGCACCACAGTGTTCAGCCCTTCTTTGCTGAACATGCAGGAATCCAGTTAATACGGGGGAGAATCCATATTACACAGATCAGGTGAAGTGACTTGCCCTGGCAGAGTGTGAGTTAGCTACAGAGCTGGTCCAATCCTAATTGCTAGGCTTCCTAGCCACCGAAATGCTATTAAAAGTAATCCAGATACAGGCTGTGGGAGTTTTCCCATACACACACCTGGAACAAGACACTGGTGAGCACCATATGAAGGGTGCATGATTAAATATCATGCTTGTGTATCCCTAATTCCCAAGTTCCCCACAGCTTGGTTCCTCCTGCAAACGGAGGACAACTGCTCTGACTTAAGCTTTGCTGTGTTCTGATTGTTTTGTGGTTTGGAAGAGGTGGAGTATTTCACAATATGGGCATCACATCCCCATGGCTGCCACCTCACCTTGCCCTGGTCCTGTGGCAGGTCCAACAGAAGGAGCTGGACCATGTGAGTTGTACCCCTATGTCAAGAGCAGTTCTTAGGGAGTTAGGCTGTCCTTTCAGTGATGCAGAAAAGCAACCTGGGTAGTAAATATGTGTAGTTCTCAACCAGTTCAACCAATGCTTTTTGACAGGATTTTAGGCTTGCCATGCCATCACATTTTGACATTTTTAAAAGACCATCTTTGAACAGGATCCAGGGAGCTACCCGACCATCACGGAAGACTCAACGCATACATGTGCACCTATCTGAGATGGCACAAGGCTTGTGTCTGTGTGTCGGTGCTGGGTGACGCTTGCTGAACCTTTGGGCATGGCCAGGGAGAACGGCTAGGCACCATCCAGAGCTTCAGATCTCCCCGAGACCGCTCCTACCCTCCCTCGGCAGCAGGAGCCTTCCATAGCACACGGATGTGCTGACAGGCTCAGCTTGGTATCCCCGGGGGTGCGGGGAGGCACCAGCGCCCGCCAGCCACGCACACGTTTTGTTGCGACCGCTGCACTGCAGCCCGGTTCCCCGGTTCCAGAGGCTCAGATGAGCTCAGTGGCTCTTCGCGCCCAGCCGCGGGGCAGCCGAGGCCGAAGACGCCCGGAAGAGGGACGCAGCTCCCACCCCGCAGCACTACAACTCCTGGAGCGCAGGGCCCCGCCGCCGCTAAGCCGAGCCGAGCCGCAGAAACCTCCCGCAGGCCCCCACTGCCGCCGCACCGCTTCCGGGATACAGGGGCGCCCCCGGAAGCGGAAGATGCTGGAGGCGGTGCTTTTGGCGGCGCCGTTGCTGTTAGAGTACGGGCTACGGTGGAGGCGTGGGGCGGGGCAAGTTCTGCTGCTTATTCCGGTGTCAGTTTCTCCTCGGCGGCCTCTCCCCTCGTTTCCGCCATGCATCCCGTTTTCCAGAGCAGCCGGCGTGATTTCACCTTCGGGCCGTGGAAGCTGAGCGCTGCCCGGACGCACATCATGAAGTCGGCGCAGGCCGAGAGGTGAGGCGGCTTGGGGCTGGCCGCGGCGGACGGGACGGGGCCTCCGCTGCTCGCTTCCCTCTGCAGCTTGTGCTGGGGCTCGGGAGGAGCCTCCGCTGGGCTGGGACCTCAGCCTCCGACAGTGGAGGGTCTGGGGCGCTTTGTCATCTTGTACAAGAAATAACGTTTTTCAGGCGGGAGAGACGCTGCTCAGTCCTGCAGCGTGGGTGGGGTAGTGGTTGTTAATTCGCTTTTTGTGAGGGTAATCTTGATTCTTTGGCTTGAGAAATTGAGGTGATTGGGGTTGCAGATGGTCTCCAGAATTCTGCTTTCAGTGATCGCTTAATGGTTTTGGAGACCTGCCCTGCTAATTATAAGACTATTTTTCCTTAATTACTTTTTTAATGGTGTTTAAGGTTCTTTGACATGTAGTCCACAGACTCATGCTATTTTGTGGTAATGGCTATTCGAAGACAGTGGTTCTCATTAAAAATGCATTATTTGCATTTTCCTTGTAGTAGTAATTTCTACTGTTGTCAAGCCACTGGAGAAAATGCTCCTGTGTCAGCAGCAAGTGCTTGAGTCAGGTTTGCTAATGGGGCACTGAGCAGTTCAGCTGTTTGATGCCATAGGTGACCTCAGTGGCAGCTGAATTTGACAGATACTTTTTGGTTTGAATTTCTGGAATACATACATAGAAATGTCATTGGTCTTGTTCAGTGTATCTTAATACATGTTGCTTTTAACTTTTGTAAGGCTGATGTGTTTGATAAAGTCCCATGTCTTGAAACAGTTTCTGTTGTTGGTTGGTTGTTTTAACTGGGTATCTGCCTTAAAATAGGTAAACCTTCATCCGTCTTTGTTTTAAGCTTTGAACTTAGGATAATCTTCTCAAACTGCTTTTGACTAATGGTCCTTTAATTTTTGCAGTTACAGGTAAAAAAACTTGAATCTTGTGATTTTAGTAATTATTTTTTGTAATGAGGATTCAACACTCAGCTAAGCTGTACCCATGTTCTGCAGAGGGAGGGAAGTTTTTATTCAATTTTTATGGCATCTTTTTAAACACTTATTTTGTAGGATGCTGCCTCTTAAAAATGAAGGTCTTTATTAAGATCAGGGGGTTGTTAACTCTTTGCCCATGAACAAGAGCCTTGAACTGCCAGTCTAGAAGCCAAATTGCCTACTGTACTCATCTGATCTATTCAGTTTCTACAACTGGACCTATTTTAAAATGCATAGTCACCTCTGTAATTTTCAGAAATTACCTTTGTTGTTTGAAGACCAGTGGGTTTGGGGTTTTCTTCAGAACATGCTGAAAAAGGCTGAAAGGTAAAGTTACAAAAGGCACGACACAACATGAAAGAACAGAGAATTTTGCAGAGTAGGGAAGTCCAAAAGAAGCTGTTTAGATCTTGGTACATAGCATGAGATCTCCAAAACAAATCCTCCACTTAAAATCTGAAGAGTCTAGAACTATCCAGTTCTAGTGCTTTTCGTCAGTGTCCTTTTATAATGTATTTCTCTTGGCATTTTACATTTTTTTATTGCGTGGGGAACATGTATCTGTAAGGGTTTTATTTCTGACAAACATATCACAAAAATCCTTAGCAACCTCTGTGGAAAGGTGAAGGATTAAATGTGCCATATAAAAGAACACCTTTCTGGGCTGGAGTTGGCCTTGGCAGTTCAAGGGGCGTACACTTATTGGAACAGAAAACTTCATAATATTATTCTGCCTTCTTTGGGAAAGATGTAGGATCTACAAATTTGCTATTTTTGTTTGGTTAGCATAATGTTCTTTTATAGGCAGAGTTACAGAAATAACCACTTTTATTCACGGAGGCCTCGCTATCAATGTGAAAATTGCTGTTGGGACACTAGTGGGTTTTTTTTCTTGCTTCCTTACAATTAGTGTATTTCCTGGTATTCTCTCCAGATGTCACATATTTCTTTTTGATCTTGAGAGGTAGTGGGAGGGAGGAAAAGAAGTATATGAAGCTTTTTGGTAAATAAGGTCAGTATTTACACAAAGTAGTGGTGTATGTGTACATGTGCATTTATAGTGTATATGTACACATGTATAAATAAGCATAATACTGATGTAAAAGAGAATGTGAAATAGGGTGCTTTGAGATTTCCTGCAGGGATAATGCTTACTTGGTTCATGCAGTCCTTTGTTCAGTTGGGTCTGTGGCTATGGCTGTGGCTTTTGTGCCTGAGGTTACAGATACTGGTGTGTATTCTCTACCAGCTTGGGAAGGTAGTAGAGCTCAGTAGCTTCTGCACTTCCCACATACTTTTCCGAGGTTGTTTTCAGCCCATTTATGTAGGCTTCTAAAGTTAGAGGTGTGAACGACTGTGTAGTGAATTTAAACTTGTTGACAATGAGTGCTCATTCCTAAAAGTTCATTTGGGGTACTTGCTGAAGTAGTTAATGGACTATCCAGAGATTTGCTACAACAGGCTGAAAGCTGCTACTTCATGCTTATCAGATTGATTTTTTTTTTTTTTTTTTTTTTTTTTTTATTCCTCCTGTCTGAGACTTCTCTATGAGCCTGATGGAGAAGGAATGTTTCAGGAATACTTTTGTGGTGGAAAAGTGGTGTTGGATCAATGACTGCGATTCATGTCAGATTATTAAATGGGGGAAACAACAAAGTTTTAAAGAATCCATTGATGATGCGACTTCTAAATGATCATGGTATTGAGGTTTTCCCTGTGTTTCTCAAGGCGAGATTGGACAGGGTTTTGAGCAACCTGGTCTAGTGGAAGGTGGCCCTCTCCATGGCAGAGGGGTTGGAACTAGATGAACTTTAAGGTCCCTTCCAACCCAAACCATTCTTTGATTCTAAAGAATACTTTTTCCAAACCAAGGACTGCTGTCACTGAACTATAGCTGACTTACCTCTCTTTATGGGACTTTTATTTTTCTGTGCAGACTGGCTGATGAATTACACATGCCCTCCCTGCCAGAGATGATGTTTGGAGACAATATCCTAAGGATACAGCATGATCATGGTTTTGGAATTGAGTTCAATGCAACAGATGCTTTAAAATGTGTCAATAATTGTCAAGGTATGATCAAAGTGGCTTGTGCAGAGGAGTGGCAAGAGAGCAGGTACAGTATTTTATCACCAGTGGGCAAGTACTGGTGTGTTGCATGTGAAACTGTCATGAAGTATTTAGAAGAGCAGACTGAACTCTTGAAGACCATGTTGCATTTGGTTATGCCATAGATACAGTTTGTGATCACAGGAATCGCTTAGCGTTTCTTTGCCATGATCATCCCATCTGTTAAATGGGGTCAGTTCTGTTTTTCAGTTGAATCTTGGCTTTCTTAATACTGTTTCCATTTATTCAAATTCTTGGGGCCTCAAGCATTACAAGATTGTACTGTGTGGCATTTCAAAGTGCAGAATGCTGCGCATGTCCAAAATCTTAGCCTTAGGAATATAGCAGAACAGTCACTATGCATGAGAACTAATTGCACTGCTTAGTATTTACCAAATGAGTTGCAGAGCACCTAGAAATAAAGCACGGAGAAAAGTGAAAGGTGTCATGAAAACTAAGGTAAATAATGTTAATGATTGCTGTGTGTTATCAGCAGATTTCTTTCTGCCTACTTAAAGAAAAAATGATTTTGAAATGCAACTCTTTCAACAACAGTGAACCAAAATCTGACTCCTAGGACTGAGGTAGTGTTATAGCATAGGAATTCTGGTAATGGTTTTCTAATCTTGTACGGAAACAAGATGTTGTGGAAGAAGCAATACTCTACAATTAAGTCTTAACATTGTCATAGCAGCACAGACAATGCTGCTGTTCTTCTTGAAGAGTGTGGGAATTGTAGTACATATTCTTTGCGAGGTGGTAGTTTTTTAGGAATTGTTACAAAGAATGTTGGTTTGCACTTCTTAAGGAGTGAGCCTGAGCACACTAAGGAAGTTGTCAAGCCATATGATTGGACTTACACAACAGACTACAAAGGAACACTGCTGGGAGATACTGCAACATTAAAGGTAACCATTTTCTCCTCCTTAAATGCTGATTGCAGTTTGTTTCACTCAAACACAAACACTTTTTTTTAGACTTTCATTTACCTTTCAGTAGGCATCTGTAAAATCTTTCAAGTTTCTTAGTTTCTGACTTTTAAAGTATAGTTTGGGCTTTTCATGTCTCAGCGTGTTATTCTTATCAAATCATGGGTTGGTTTGGATTTTTTAAGCAATTTAGGATCATATAAAAGGGTGCTGTTGTGTCCCTTAGTGACAATTTGCTCACAGAGTAAAAATCTTCATAGCTGAAAATCTTGCTGGATGCCCCTCTGAAGCCCTGGGGTCTTCACACACAATGGAACTATTAACTGTAATTTTCTACCTTTACTCTCTGTTAGTTGCCTTTTGTCTAAGCAGATATGTAGATCTGGCTGCTTTCTTCAATGGCTTTATATTTTCTTCTGCAACAACAAAAACATATTTAAACCTATAGGCCCTCCCTTGTCTTTACTTTAAAATAAGACTGAAGTTCCCAGTTTCTCTTTACTGTGTACAAATTGCATGCTACTAAGCACGTGCTCTGTATTAAGAGTCACAGATTACTTGATTTATTCTGAAATTAAAAGTGCAGCATAGAAATAAATGTCATGTTGGCCTGTAGTCTTTAGTCAGTGGAAGCACATGAGTGTATATGGCGATCATGAGATGGAAATTGAAGGTACTTGATTTCCATGGAGAGGCTTTATTAGAATCCTGTTCAGGGTTTGTAGTGGGCTAGAGATAGTAAATGGATGGAATCTTGTTAATAACCCAAAACTTCAAATCTTCAAATGTTTTGCAATACAGAAATTGAGTAGAATTGTTTGCAGCTGAAACCCCACTGCACCTGTACCCAGAGGAAAGTTTATTCAGAATTTTCCACTCTTGGTGTTGCTTTGATTGGTATTTTCTCTTGGAAACTTTAGGTTTAGTTTTAACTTCTTCTCTTAGAAATCTTTTATGTTTTAAGTTTAGTGCTCTAAAAGCTTTTTCCTTTCTAAAACCAATAACTGTGGGATTTATAGAACAGGACAAACTTTATGTAGTTTGACAACAAATTAACATGCTACCTGTTGTTAATCGTTTTCTTTAGGTTGTTCCTACAACAGAACACATAAATACAGAAAAATTGAAAGCCCGGGAACAAATTATGTTTTTTGAAGAAGTACTTCTGTTTGAAGATGAACTTCATGATCATGGAGTATCAAGTTTGAGTGTAAAAATAGTGAGTAGTGAGAGTTGTATTGAGACACTTGGTGACTCAGTTGGTTAACATATGCAATTCAGCCTTTTTTTTTTTTTTTTTATGCTTTTCCTTATGGGATTTAAAGTTTAAAATGCAGTTTTTTATCCACAATCTTAGAAATGTCATCTTACTGGAAATTATGTTGATTTGACATCTCTCTGTTGGTTGCTTCAGGGAACAATCTTTTCCCTCTTTTGAGGCAGTCTGCCTTGCTGTCCAATGACAGCTGTAGCATATCAACAGCCCAAATTTTTACTTTATTACTGAAAGCTCCTCATACTGTTTTTCACTGTGAATATCTGAAGTAGCTGAGTGCATACTTAAAGTAGAACTTTGTGAAATGCTGAAACATCTTTTTTTTTCCTTTTTTGCAGAGAGTTATGCCTTCCAGCTTTTTTGTCCTGTTGAGGTTTTTCTTGCGGGTTGATGGGGTACTTATCAGGATGAATGATACAAGGCTTTATCATGAGGTAAACCCTTCTTCTCCATCATGTGTTTTACAGATGCTCCTTTGTCATGTTACTTCCAGAGAAGAATTGCTGATATTCCTGTTATTTAATACTGATGTTTGGGGTATAGAGGTTACCTGAACTAAGCTTTCAAGTATATTTATTATTGTGGTGGTGCTGAAATAGCAGCCAAGGGCTGAATGCCATGGGAGCTGGCTAGGTATTGTATGAGCAGAGTAGGCTACCCCTCGTGTGCAGTTACCATTTAAATATATTTTGCAGACACAGATTAGAGAAGAAGTACAAGAGGGAAAACAGGCAACAGTAAATGTGTGATACTGTTCTTATCCTTGTCTCCAAGTGCAGGTTTTTTGGCTTGTCTAACATACAACTGCAAGTTTTAACTTTAACTGTCCATACGATATTTGAGTTCTAGTATCTCATATGTAATACAGATAATAACAGTTCTGGTTTGCGTATTCTCTCTAGCTGTATTCGTCCTAATGTAGGAGTTCTAGCTGAGTAAAGATTAACAAGCATATGTAGTCACAAATTTTTTTTTCCTGGATACATGCAGAAAGGTGATTTGGGGGAAAGAAAACACTGCTGAATATCTTTCTCTGTCTTCATGAGTTTGAATGTCCGTTTCTGCTCCCAGGTGACAGTCTATGGTCAACCAAATTCAAAAGCTTACAAAATTCAGTGTATTTAATATGCTCTTTTTGCACTGATAGGTGATAATTCTGTAATTTTGCTTTTTTTTTTTTCTTAGGCTGACAAGGCGTACATGTTGCGAGAGTATACCTCCAGAGAAAGCAAAATATCAAGTTTAAAGGTACTGCATTTTTTTAAATGGTTTTTGGTTGGTTTGTTTTGTGTTGGTTTTTGTTTTTTCTTCTTCTGTTCGCTTTTTAAAATTGTTTATACAGTCAGTGTAGAAAATACTGTGTAAGTCAACTGATTTCTAGGTTTGGAATTGATAGAGAAAACCACTTTCTGCTTACACAACACTTATTTTGGTGATTTCAGGGCAGATGTGCATTTGTAAATGCTCAGATCACATGACAAGATACAGGAGTGAGTTATCTTTATTACTTTTGAATTAAAATATTTGGGGTTTGTTTTTTTGTTGGTTTTTTTTTTTTCATAGACCTGTTCAGCCACAAAATTGGGTAGTCCATGTCCCACGATGCTAAATTTCAGGGCTGGTTGTATGCTTGCAAGTAGTATTAGGGGTTAAGATCTGTTTGGTAATAGACGCATTCAGTTTTTCTCAAACTGAATAGCCCACCTTAAAACTCCAGTAATGGCTCAGAATAACTTGTGGCACATTTGGAGATGCAGCTGTTGATTTTTATTCCTGACCCAAGACTTGGTCTTGGGTATTCATGTTACTTTCCTTTTCCCTTTTTTATGGTGTTTTTCCTTTACCTCTAAAGTAACTAATGTGTTACTAACCTTCCAAGGGAATGTTTTTGCAAAATGGTTTCCTTTTTGTGGAAGGTGGCACTTTATCATGTCTTAACATGTGATAAACAGGACTATACTCGGACATGAGCTTTTTGATAATTGTGTGGGGTTTGATATATAAATCAGTGATGTAGGTTTTACTTCACCTCATATTTAAAAAATATCATCTGGGCTGTTAAATAATTTTCCCTGCCTGTTGTATTATAGAAGAAATGCATCCAGCTTTCCAGTTCACTAGATCAGCTTGCATAGGTAAAGTAAGACAGGTTCCTGCTTCACTTAGGTTTGAAACAGTTAAATTAGCAGTATAATTCCTTGCATGTCAGGAGTAGCCAAAATACAGGTTGCATTTGAATAGCTCTGAATACACTTCTTAAAGTATGTTGTTAGAAAGTTTGGTTGTTTTGGGTTTTTTTTTTGTTTTGGTTTGATTTTCTTTTTTTTTTTTGTTGGGTTTTCTTTTTTTTTCATCAAATGTCTTGCATCTGGTGAAGTTGTCAACAGGAATCTCCAGAGAAAGATATTGATCAACTTAGTGGAACCCCCTAATTTCTTCAAATGAAATTAAAGTTCAGTGAGTTTTAGTATTTCGTATAAATGTTTGACTTCATAAAATACAGGGCATGTTGAGGGGCATCAGCAGCTAAATCTGAGCAACTCCAGTTAATATATTGCGATGGCTAGAAGACATTAAACATGGGATTCCTTGTGGCCATCCTAGTCTCATCTGAAACTAGAACCTCAAAAAGACTGTTACATGCAAATGATAAATTTATTGTTTAAAAAAAAATTGCAGCTGTTCATTAGTGTCTCTTGTGCTCTTATGTTCTGCTGCTTAAAAACATTAAATACCTTTCCTTAGCATATTGACCTACACAAGGAGTAAAAGACTGTATGTACATTTGAAGTCACAAGGTAAATTTTTATAATTATACCTGACTTCAGGTGTTTAAAACAGGTAGATTATAGATTGTCTGTAAAGTTTGGGTTTGGAATACCTTTAATTTTATTTTTTTTTCCCTCCCCTTCCTTTCACTCATTTCATATAAAATTTTTGCTTCTTAGCATGTTCCACCTTCCCTGTTCACGGAACCTAATGAGATCTCTCAGTACCTACCTATAAAGGAGACAATCTGTGAAAAACTAGAATTCCCAGAGAAGATGGAGCCTAAGCCAGAAGCATCACTGGAAACCACATGTGTTAAGTCTAAATAAATGTGACTTTATATGGACTTGAAATAAACTGGAGGTAACATGATCATGTAACCATGCCTTGGGGGGGCAGTTTCACTACTAGTGGAATAAAGAATTCGGCTAATTTTCTATAGCCCTGAGAGAAAACATTTCAAGCAGGTTTTGCTAATGGTGTTCTTTGTTTGTTTGTTGCTGGTTTTTTTTTAACCTGTATCTGGAATTAATGATAGACTGGTGGTGAGTTATCATTTTCAGCAGTATTGGAGAAAGACTCACAATGTAAGAGTCTGAGTTCTGTTTAACTCACTGGGTGGTAGGCCAGGAGTATTGCCTGGACCCTCCACCACAAACACTTCTATGAAGATTTTATTATTGCTTCTTCAGATACTGACACTACTGGAGTCTTAAAATTGTCATTTTATTTTTATTGAGAAACCATCCACAAGGAAAGAAAAAAAAAATCGTCCCCTGAATTTATTTTGAGCTGTCAGTTCTAAACTACACATTTCACTTGACTTCCCCTACTGTAAGCTGATAACCTACTAAGTTACATTTAGACGTCTCTGATCCAGACTTTAAAATATTCATTTCATCTGAGGATAGGCTTAATGATGGGAAAAAGAAATAACTGCATTCGTCTGACACTATATAAAGGTAAAATTACCTTATTTCTGAAGCATTAACTCCAGAGCAGGAGAAAGCTGGAGGTTAACAGACATACACTGCAAAGTCTCTTCAGAAATACTGTTTATTCTAGTATTCCCTAGAATACTCTCTAGGCAGTTCTGGAGACTATTATTTGGGGCCTATATGCTGCTACAGTCATGTCCTACATTGGAAATGCATTTTACTGTATTGACCTTCTGTTGGACATACTGCATGGTGCCCATGCATGATGGTTATCCTGCCCTGACAGTCAAATTGCTAAACTGCAGAGTGGCCTAAGGCTCGGGAAAACAGGCATTTAGTCTCTAGTCCCTAAGGGATGCTGGTGTTTGGAGATTGAGAAACGAGATCCTACATAGTCTAGAAAGGGTGCCAACATGTATTCCAGATACATCATTTTGGTTTATTTTTAAAATTCTTTAATTCCTGATACTAATAAAACTGTTCTGTGTATAGTCATGGGTTTTAACACTTTGTAGATTAAACTTTAAATATTTGTACTGCTTTGGAAATCCTCAATTATGTTAATAGTTTGGCCTAAGAATGGAGGAGCTAGAGACTTGTCTAGGTTTACTGCTCACACTCAGTGAAGTGAAGCAGCAAATGGCTGTAGCAAAAAGCAGGCCTTGTGGTTGGTGGCACATAAGAATGTGTACAAGTTCTCACGGCTTGAGTTTTCTGCACTTAATGGCTTAGTAGAAAAAATCCAGCTCAAAACCTGGTATTCAACCAGGTCTTTTGAGAAATGGCTTCCACTTAGAAAAGATCCTGAATTTTTAGGAAAAAGTCTACTGCCATCTCAGTGACTGTTTTCTTAATAAAAACAAAACACTTTGTCTCACTTTTATTTGAGGCGACCAGGTCCAGTGAGCTAGCTGATCAGCAGGCTGAAAGGCAGGAACTAAAGCCAGGTTTTCTTGTGTCATGGATTTACTCAGACCACAGGGAACTTACTTCTCTGTGCCTCAGTTCCATGTATGTAAAAACAAGAATTAATAAATGCTTATCTTAATGAGGGTCTGTCAGGATTATTTTGTAAAAAGTTATTGATTTTTTTTTTTTTTTTCCCCTCAATACACCTTCAGCCTTATCTTTGGAATCCTTTGGAAAGGACTATTGCAAAAAGTCTTGTGATCCGTAAGATAAAATGAGTGACAAGAACTGAAATTAAACAGTCTCTGAAAGAAACTATTATCAGATAGCCATGATGTGGGGTTTTCCAATAGGTGAGTTTATGCCATTTTGAAATAAAAGTGGGGTCCTCTGTGTTCCCCATTAGAGTCCTAAATTCTGTTGGCTTTTTTCATGTTCCTGCATTTGTTTCCTAAAGATTTTAGTGTCAGGATGAAGAAGGGGCTGCAAATGAATGCAGCATGCAAGTGATCAAAATTCATTTCGATCTGCTCCAGTGATAAAGGGATATGGGGAGAGAGCGAAAAGTAAGGGCAGAACAAATGAAGGTAATAAAGAGATACTTTGCTTTTAGAGGTTAAATTATGGCACTTATTTTACTCTAAGCATGTACTATTTTACATGTCTTAAGGGCTTATAAAAACACACTTTAAAAATGGTAGTGACTGAGAGCTGATATAGTGCTAGCATGAAGGCAACTGTATTGCATCATTAATTAGAACTGTGATTTGGGTTCGGTCAGTGATGCTCGCATTAATCTCCTTTGGGCTGAAGTGTATGTTGGGGGGGAACCCAGAGCATCGACACCTAGCGATGAAAAGGATGCTCTGCATGTTTAGCTTACATGCTGTATTTCACCTTGTCTATATTGCATACTGAGTTGTGACCTCCTGATACAGTTGTCTTGAGTAGACTTGAATCCTGACTCTATAATTACGTGATATCCATCTACTTTGGATGCTGTGTATTTAAGTGGAACACACATGTTGGGGAACTCATAATGTTTAGGAAGTTACAATTACTACAGAGTAAAACTTGGAACGCTTTGTGACTCTGTCATACCACACAATCAAAAAGCAGCAGTATAAACTGGTGTACCACAAACTCTCGTAAAAATTTTACACAGAAAAGCACCACTTTGGATACATAATTTTGGGGGAGGGAGTGGGGTGATTCTCTAGCTATTTTATGGCAAGTTTAACATGTGGTGGTTTATATTCTTTCTTGTATGTTGCTTAATAAATGTACCAGTCATTTTACAGTTCTGTTTTTGTCTGAGCAAAATAAACTGAAATAACTACTCCTGATGCTGAATTTTGCATGCTAGTAAGGCATTGCATCCATGTGCCTTTGCCTGTCATCAGGCCACTCTGGCTAGTTAGGAAAATAAAGTGAGGCTTTTTCAGAACAGGGGAAGAGTCACAATAGTGGGAGCAAAATTAAATATACATTAATATTTCTGTGAGCTTCACTATTTGCAAATAATTGGCAAAATGGGTGGGAGCAGATACAACTAGAGAAGTAGAACTGGCAGAGGTTGTCGACTTGTGTTCTGAAGTCTGGAAAACATTAGGACAGTTTAGACGTCAGCTGTTGTATGTTTGTGTTGTCCCAAAATCAGGTTCTTCACCTGGTGTGCAGAGAGATGATTAACACAGAGTTGAGGTATTACATGTTCCAGTGTAAGTTGCTCTAGGTGACCTTGCCTTGGCACGGGGGTTGGACTAAGTGATCTCCAGAGGTCCCTTCCAACCCTAGTGATTCTGTGGTTTCATGTCTGCACAGAGATGGGTGCTAGGCAGTAACTGCCCAAAGCCAGCACACCCTCAGTCTGCTGCTCTTACACATTTCAAACCATGATGGTCAGTGTTTTCTGCATAGGTAACAGTATGTATCTACAATCTTCTAGGTTCTCTTGTCTCGGTTTAAGGACATGGTATATATTAATTCACTATACACTTTCCATAAGGGTCTCTTACCTCAAGAGATGTGATCTTTAGTATTCAAATAAACCAAGCTCCTTTAGGAACACAGGTACCTTCTGCTTTGCTAGGCTTTTCAAAATAACTTCTGCCTTCCTAACCTTTCCAAAGTTAGCTGTTACACTTCTGACTTACGATCCCGCTGGTTCATCTATCAGCCGCCCAACTCCCCTCAAGGTCTGTGAGTTTGCAAGGAAGCACAGGTTTTCCCTTCTGCCTGCAATTCCAAACTCAAGATTTCCAAGCTTTCACACATACAGTCCTTTACAAAATCTTAACTTCCTCATTGCCAGGTAACACTTGGAAGACTAAGAAAGCCCTGGTTCCTGGGGAAGTGGGGTGCCTACTGTCTCTAAAAACGCAAACCAAGCATATGAGTTACTATGAAGATAATCCCTCTCCAACACGTGAACCTGGGCACGGGTGCTGGACTGCTTTTTCTCAATCTCACTTGCAGTCCACGCACCTGCTCCAGGAAAGCCGTCATAGGGTGGCTGCTGTGTCTGGAGAGCACAAGACCAGCAGAGCCATTTCTACTACCATTCTCCTCAGTGTCTCTCGCCCGACCCCGTGGTGGCGCGGCACCGTCTCTCCAACAGGCCCCGCTGCCCCGTCTGGTCTCACTGGCACTTCTCCCCTCGTAACGCCCCAGAGGCGACCGGTGTCTGCCCCTCACCACCAGGCGAGGTCTGGCCTCTCCTGCCTCACGGACTACATCCCCCGGTACCCTCTGCGCCGGCGCCGTCGGCCTTCATCTACCTGCGGCGTGCAGGTAGCGCGGTGCACGCTGGAGCTGGTAGTCCCCGAAGAGAGGAAGGGCAGAGCTGTCCGGCAGTGTGTGGGGCTGAGCTGTGCGGGCCGAGGCGGGCGGTATGGACAAGCTGAAGCGGGTGCTGAGCGGCCGAGACACGGAGGAGCCGAGCGGTCTGGCTGAGGTAATGTGCCGCGCTCCCGGCTGTGGGGGTTGGAATGTATCAAAGCTGTCAGAGACCATGGGAAGGAGGAACTACAGCGGGCAATTAAGAGTGACCCGTCCCTGACTAGTACTTGGAAGATGTTGGAACTGGCAAGGAGCAAGGACGTCGGAACTGGAAAGAGAATGTCGATAGGAAAATCAGATAGACCTTTCACCTGATGTAACCGCAAGGCAAACACAGATGTGCTTGGCTAATTGCTTGGAAGCATATAGATATCGTGTAATCTTTGCAATAAAGGATCCAGCTTGCACTCTACCTCTGGGTCCGTGCCTCCATCCTCACACCCGGTACCTGCCTCCCGTCCTTCCGTGGTGTGTGGGGGAAACTGCGTGCTAAGGCCAGGGTGGTGGGAAGAGCAGGACCCGGGCCGCCCCTCAGCGCGGGTCGGTAGGACTGGTCTGTGTCGCCTCAGCCTCTCCCTGGGCTTCCGGCTCAACGGGACGGAGCCGGGCGGGGACTGCCTGGAGCAGTGGCTCCTCCGGAGCTGCACTTACTCTTACAATGCTGCGTGTTTTACCCCGCGAGCAGCCGCTGCCGGGAGAGGGGCCGTGGCTTCAAGAGGTTGGGTGTGAGAGAGAGTGACTCGGTCTCCCGAGCGAACCTCCGCCGTTCACGGAAGCAAAGTGGGGGAACGGGAATGTGCGCTTTGTGAGGGCAGGGAAACTGACCGCATTCCTCACTGTGAGGTTGATGAGTCACTGGCACAGGGTGCGGAGAGAAGCTGTGGCTGCCGCATCCCTGGCAGTGTTCAAAGCCAGGTTGGACGGGGCTTGGAGCAGCGTGATACAGTGGAAGGTGGCAGAGGGACGTGGAACTGGGTGAGCTTCCAAGCCCCTTCACACCTAGACCGTTGTGTGATCCCATGAAACCTAGCGCCCATCTGTTTGTCTGGGGAACTGGCGGGATAACAAAAGTAAAAAATACCGCCGGTGTCGGGACGGGCAGCCCCGTGTCGGTACAGACCGGGAGGGGCTCCAGGTGGTGGCTCTCTGACAGGGCTGCCGCTTGGCAGCAGCCCGCTTCCTACGGGCCGCTGAAGAGGGTGCTTAGAAATGGAGGCACCGTTTGAGCTGGGAAACAGTTTAGCATCTGGAGGGAATTTACAGACTTGATCTTGTATTAAACCTAATAAATAGGTTAGTAAATCTATTAGTGATAGACTCACAGAATGGTTTGAGTCGGAAAGGATCTTAAGATCATACAGTTCCAACCCCCTGCCATGGGCAGGAACGCCTCACACTAAACTATGTCACCCAAGGCTCAGTCCAGCCTGGCCTTGAACACTGCCTGGGATGGAGCATTTAACCCTTCCTTGGGCAGCCCATTCCAGTGCCTCACCACCCTTACAGTAAAGAGCTTCCTCTTTATATCTAACCTGAACTTCACCTGTTTAAGTTTAAACCCATTACCCCTTGTCCTGTCACTACAGTCTCTAATGAAGAGTCCCTCCCCAGCATCCCTATAGGCCCCCTTCGGATACTGGAAGGCTGCTATGAGGTATCCACGCAACTTTAGTTTCCCCAGGCTGAGCAGCCTCAATTCTTTAGCCTGTCTTCATATGGGAGGTGCTCCACCCCCCTTATCATCATCATCCTGGATTTGCTCTCACAGCTCCATAAGTGATAACTTGCACTCTATTTTTCTTCACATTTCTAGGTTATTGACGCAACTTCATTAGGCTGGGGCACCAGAGTGAAAGGCTTCATTGCTTGTTTTGCATTAGGATGCCTTTTCTCGTTCTTGGTAAGGACTTTTTGCATGATCTCTCCTGATACTGGAGTCTCAGGACCCCAAATAATTGCAGCCTTGCAGTATGCCACTGTTTGATTTTTCTGCATCTCAGGGAAGGCGTCTGACTCAGCTCCAGTTAGATGTAATGCACTAATTCTTTATAAGAACGGCAGTAAATGCAGTTTACTCTTGCATGTATATGATTCTGCAGTTTGGGTTTAAGTTTTCCTAGGACTTCTTTTATGCTGTGACATTTCTGGGATATGTTTATTTTGCAGTTTAAAAACAATATTAATTTTTCTTCCCTCTGTGTTCCTTTTTAGGGTAGTTGTCTGCTGTGGGTACCAAAGAAAGCGCTGCTGCTCTTTGCAGTGTTTTATACGCTGGGGAATATTGCATCTATTGGGAGGTAAAAATCTTCTCATTTATATTGGCTCCCTAATAAAGATGAGAAAGTATAAGCAGAATTCTAGATGAGGGTGCATAAGTGGTAGAAACCGTTGTATTTGTGTGACAATATTTGCTTATGTGGATCACTGTCTTGTTGCTGAATTTTAAAGAACAGTATTTCCCCAGTAGTCCCCTGAAATGGTAATGTTTTTTGTTATCATTATTAGCAATGCATTCAAGGTAGAAGTTACTCATCAGTAAAGAAGAATCAAACTCATACTTTGAGCATTGAAGGCTTTTTTTTATTTTGTTGTTACCCCCCCCCCCACACACCCCCCCACCCCAAGATATAGTAACTCTTTGTCATTTTGCATTTGGTAATGTTCTGTGTGTTGTGGTGAATATATCTGGGACAGTCTGTCAGGGTAGCTGTGTTTGATAAGCCTTCATGACCACTGAGGTTCCTGAAGCAGAGCCACTCTGACTGCATGACAGCACAACTGTCTGAGAGTGAGGAAACTTGGTAAAATGTTAGAAATCACAAGGGATGGAACTGGAAATAGTATAATAATGAGGCAGAATAACACGGTATATGAGGCAGAAATAGCACCTTAGATAAAACTTTCACCTTCTATAATTCTTGCAGTATCAATTACTAGAGCTCTTACATGAGGGCTGCAGATCTGGTAAGGCATCAGAGGATGGATCCAGGCCTGAAAACAGCCCTTTATATAGAGGAATTGAGCTGGATTACTGGCAATCTGCGCAGAGCCTCTGTGGCTGGTGGTTTTGAAGAGCAAGTTAAAAAAGCATCTGTTAAGATGTTAAGAATGATCTAATTGAAGCTGACCTTGACCTATACTTCTGGCTTGGTAGTTTTGCTCTGCTTAGTTAATTGTAACTGAACAAGTGTGAATAAAATTATAGTATAAATACCTTGCACAGAGAAAAGCAGAAATAGATTTTCTCATTGTGTATCCTGTTTCCTTGCCCCATGTGACTACACACAAAATAACAAAATAACCCTCCTTAATAAGGAATCTTTCCTTATTCCACTCTTGCCTTTCTACCTCTGTGTTCATCTGGTTTTCTTTTCTACAGCACTCTTTTTCTTATGGGACCAATGAAACAACTGAAAAGAATGTTTGACCCTACACGTTTGATTGCTACTGTTGTTATGCTAGTAAGTGGCAAAGGAATCTATTTTAACTCATGCTAACTTCTAAACAATTTCCATT